CTAAACAAACTGAACCTTAAGCAGAGGCACTTTGCTTACAGACATGTCCATGACTGTAACAACGGTGCAGTGGTTCTGTGAGTACACGGCGTATATCAACAGCACGGGCACGTATGGCTTAGGCTGGTGTTCCCTTTGGCTGTGTTAGCTGGGATATAACTCCCTCTGCATCTCAGCTTCTCTGAATTTGCTGTTCACAGGGACTTGGGAACAGAGACATACAGGATTTGGCCACTGGGCCGTAAAGCAGCGTTAAGGGAATGCTTAGCTCTCACCACATTTTAATTTAGAAGTGAATGAACTGGGGTTTGTTACATTAGTTTTGCTTTTGGTTATTTGACGTAAGTGGAATTCGTGCACTGGTAAGTAAGTTCTCTCTAATGATTTTTGAACACTGGTAAATACCAGGCTTTAATTATTATAGAATCGTAGAATCACAGAGTGGTTTGGGTTGGAAGGGACCTTAAAGATCACCCAGTTCCAACCCCCCTGCCATGGGCAGGGACACCTTCCACTAGACCAGGTTGCTCCAAGCCTCATCCAGCCTGGCCTTGGACACTTCCAGGGATGGGGCATCCACAGCTTCTCTGGGCAACCTGTTCCAGTGCCTCCCTACCCTCTCCAGGAAGAAATTCTTCCTCATAGCCAGTCTAGATCTCCCCACTTTCAATTTAAAACCATTACCCCTTGTCCTGTCACTCCAGACCCTTGTAAAAAGTCCCCCCCAGCTTCCTTGTAGCCCCTTCAGGCACTGGAGGCCATTGGTTATATGGTTAGTACCTCTGTCCCTTACCAAATCCATGCGGTGTCTGTCCTTACCGGTGCTCTTGGAGACACACACCTTTTTTCATCCCTACTGTGCGTTTAGCTGCAGTACGGAAAGCAGGACCGTACGCCGCTCGTTTGCCGTGTGGCCTGAACTGGATGGTTGAGGCAGGTCAGGCTTTGTTCTAGCTGCTGCTGCTGGGCAGCCGGGGCATTCTGCAGTCTCTCGGGATGGCACACCGGCTGGGAGCCTTTCTCTTCCCGCTTTGGTGTGGCGATGTTAGGGAACCGCAGGCTCTGTGCTCGGGTCTGACAGGCGTCAGGAGCCCTGAAGATGGGGGTTCTTGTCGCTCTTGCCCTCTTTCACTGCTGAGTACAATCTGTTCTGGGACAAGATCGACTAGAATGCAGACAAGATAAGGAAAAATTACCTTTTTGTCCTTTAGTTTTATCTGTGGGAGAGAAGGTCATATGGGTGGTGGGTAATAGTGTTAAATGTAAAGCTTTTTGTGAAGTGTATAAACGATGTATTGGCATTTTGACAAATCAACAGACTTCTCAGTGCTGCAGTAATATTCCTGTGACACTTACGAATCGAGTTACTAATATTTTAAAATTAGATATTCTTTCTTATTTAAAAGAACTAAAAAGCTGTTTTTCCCTTAATATGCAAGAGGTGAAGTTAGTTACATTGCTGTTTTCTGCTGTCTCCGTAGCACTGTATGTTTGCTCTCTCTTTTCGTACATTGTTTCCCCTTCTGTTTCATACACACCTAGAAAACTTACTTGGAGTCCATCTCTGTGTACAGTAGTACGGGTCATTGTTGAATTTTAGACTCCTTATCTTCTATATTAAGAAGAGTGAGAGCCTTCACTAGCTTAGGGGGGGACAAATAATTTTTTTCCAAACACAAATTTTTTAAAGACCAAACCTTTAGAAAATGAGAAAAAACCTTTCGACTCCCATAAATGTGTTTTTGTGGTGTATTGCGTGATTCAGATCATAAAGTTTCATTTTTAGCTTCACCTGTAAGGTGAAAGGTTTTGTACCACGCACAGGATTTAGAATCAAAGCCTGACATCTTTGCCCTACTGATGGCCCCTATTTGGACTAAAAGTGACAATGAACAGAAATCTCCTGAAAAATTGTGGCCAAGCCTAAATTTGAAGTATTAAAAAGGATTTACTTTTTACAGGCGTATTCACCTCTAATTGTTATGGTAACAAAGAATTTTAAAATAAGCATTGCATACTTACTCATATAACACACTGACAGCTGTGTTAGTAAATAAGAAAATGTGTATGCTCAAAAATGAATATATTTTTTTAAAGTTGCATGATAGTAAGGAATGAGTATGCTACCACAGATTTGCATTTTATATATTTGGTTTATAAGGTCAATCTAGTTCTGTCTTACTATTAATTTATATGTAAATTTTTCTTACTGTATTAGAATAGATATTGCAGCGATGGATGCAAGTTTTATTTTAAAACTACTATTTTTTAGCTTTGCAAAAGGGACACGGGGTAGGATGAATTGAAAGTGTCTGTGGTATAGAGCACAAGAGTAGGACCCGTGAGACCTGACTTCTCTTCCAGTTTCATCATTAGTCTACCAGTAATCTGGGGGAAGTTGCTTCATAATTCTGTACCTCAACTTTCCCATTTGTAAGTTGGAGATAATCATACAGCCCTTACAAAACACTTCACAACTGAACAGTTCTAGGTAAGACGTTCTTCTAATCATTATTTTCTTTTTAAGAGACCTGCTGCTACATGGTATGTGCAGTCCAGATGAAGTGATGAAGCTGTTATCTGTGTGGTATAGTGCAGACTACAGGATACATTTCACTTAACACGCACTTTTATTATACATCATACGCTCAGCAGGTTTTTTTTTTCTTTCTCTAAGGAGAAATGATAGGGAACATAAGAATACAGGAATGGTCTGTAGAGATAAGTGTATTGCAATTTATTCTTGTGTTGCTGGCACTGAATACCAGAGCAGATTTACAAGTGGAATTTGCAGGGAAAAAAGTTACTATTGTCCCCATCTGTAAGGAAAACTGGTCCAGTGATTTGGACTGTACAACATAATTTAAATTCAGTTTCCTGTTCGATTACAGGTTTCCTGTGTTTCCTTAAGCAAGTTCTGTGCCGTAGAATTCTGCATCTGTAAAATGGAATAATTGTACTTTCCTATGGAGTGTGCAACAGTTGTAAAGCTGGCACAGAAAGCTGGTAGGGCTCTCTGATAGTACAGCTTCAGGGCCACGGAAGTCTGATGGGTAGATGCATGAAGCTTTGGAAAGAGAAACTTCTAGAAATAAGTAAATGAGCTAAGACTTTAGATCGTCTGGGGTTGGAAATACTGGAGAAAAACAAAAGGGATGAAGGAGATTTTTAAATGAAGAGTGTGTTTTTTTTCTTTTCACTCAAAAATCTCTGACAAACTGTCTTATGCACAGTTTTCTTGGCCACTACCCTGATACATGAAGTTACAGGTACAAAATCTAAGAAAAAAATTCATGCTAAGGTACATGTCATATGTCTTCTTTGAGGAAGAATAAATTGTAAATATTAAGCTTCAATTTACTGACAAAGCATATGAAGAAAAATAAAACTTATTTGGTAAAATCAAATGCTAAGCAGTTCCTCAGAATATCCTTCTTAAATTACACATTTAATGTAAGAAATACTTCACCAAATAACACCACCTCTGTTCATTCATAGTCAGAATAAACACCTTCTGTACTAAGCATCAGTCAAATGTTATTTGAAAGAGCTGATACACAATATATTAAATAACAAAGGTGCTGAGACAGCCTTAACTGTAGTAGTTCTAATTACTGCACTATGCCGTGTTATATCTCATGGCATAATTTAGTGTATCTTCTTTGTCAATGTATTACTCATCATTTTACAAATTACAAATCTTTTATAGGAAGGTAGTTCTTACTTGGACATAGTGCTAAAATGATGGAGTGATTTCCTTTTTTCTCAATCATTGATCTTTTAAACTTTTTCCTTTAGCTGTATTAATCATGTGTATGAGCTACGTGTTGTCATAAAATATGGAATTTTTCTGTTAATTTCATATTCAATTAAAATGTTTTTTTGCTTACTGCCTCTATCTCCTGCATCACAGCAATCTATTTACTTATTGAAATTCTTGTTCATAAATTCAAAACAAAGTCAATACTGCAGTCACACATTTTCATAACAATCTATAATCTAATTGAAAATGTGGGGTGTACTTGGGAAGGGAGTGTACTTAAAATACATTCTTACTCTAAACATGTTTGATCTAACTTTTTAAAGGGGGTTTGTTTTGTGAACAGGAAGTATTTCAGAATTCACTAACATGGTCTACTTAATTGCTGTTTAAAAGGACTTTGTTATTCCAGTGTATAAGTAAGTGTAATACTGAAGAGAACTACAATCTGTAAAATTGCTGCAGAACACCCCCTATTCAGAAGACCAGACAGATATTCCAGAAGAAACATGAGTGCTTAGTGTGCTGTACTGTGGTTTTGTTGTAGATGGTAATTACAGTGCCTAATAGATATCTGGGATCTTCCAATTTAAATACCTGAATAATGGTGATTTCCAAGCCCGACCTAATACGTGGCCTGTTTAACCTAGGCAAGTGAAGTATTTCACTTAGGACATCCCCGGGATGAAACCCAGCAGTGGAGGGAAAGCTATAACATAGCAGCAGGATAAATTGTCGTAACCTGTTTGGGGTGAATTTCAGCTGAATGCTAGTGAGCACTGCAGGGAGTGAATAGCGGAGCAACTCGTAAGCGTAATGGCGGTGAGAGACCTGATGAGCCCAGGGGTGGGCACGGATTAGTTTCTGGCTGGGACTGGGTGGCCTGACTCCTTGTGATAGTGGGAGATTGTGATTCAGTGCCTCAGATGTTCCCTTTCTGCCTCGTTTACTTAGTTGTGGCTGCTTACTTAGATTATTTTGTCCTGAACCATTTAGCTTTTCCTGTTTCCAGAAACTAGTGTTATGAAGGTAGGTGATGCTGAAAGTGTCTAACCATATTTTTTGCCTGATGCGTATTTATTGGTTTATTTTTAAAAAAATGATGTCTAGGTTTCAGGTGCTGTGTTTGTGCTGGGTGCTTAGCTGTGGGAAAGAGCATATAGCTTGCTGCTAACCTAGCAAAATGTCTTTTAAAGAAATGTATATGCGAGTTATGGTTTGTTTGTACCCTGTTTTGCAGGTGGGAGTGAATCCTCTTGGGATAAAGACAAGCTTCAGTCTCCCATTACAACGGGATCACAGCACAGCATTGGTCATCCCACACTGTCAGGGCAGTCGAGCCTTGGAAGTGCACACCCACTCAGTCCTCTCCAGCAGAATCACCTGCTCACCAACAGTACGTACTGTGCTCTTACGGGGGAAAAAAAGTACGTGGAGCCCTACTTGGAGGCTGGACTTGCATTTCTTCCCAACCTCCTGGAGGTGGGGGAGATGGAAGGGAGACACATGAGCGGCAGGAAGGTCCATCCTTCCACTGTCTGATGCACGTGTGCATCATGCCCCAGCCACCCACTGGGATATGGCTGCTCTCTGTGAACAGTCACCCACTGCTTGGTTAGGGACTGTCAGCCCTTAACTGCCATGCCATGGCCTGGGCTGAAGGGAAAAATAACCATACTGTTGCTTAAAATTTTAGCTATGTGAGAAAACTCTTTTCCAGGTGAAAATGCTGACCACGAAATGAATATAGGAGACCCTGAAATAAATGCAAAATGTCAAGTTAAAAGCGAGCAGAAGCAATCCCTCTGCCTTGTTTTGCCTTGTGACTGTGGGCAAGGTCATCCATTGAACCCAGCTATCCAGAACACCTGGGATAAAATGACACAGTTAAAGTTTGGCATTGGAACCTAAAGTTCCCTTCAAACCCATCCTTTTTTCTTCCCTTAGAAAGGGAGCAGGTGGGAAGCCAGCAATTCCCCTTCTCCTTTGCACCCAAAGAGGGAGGAAGGGAGAGGAAAGTTATTCCAGGAAATATATTCAGGATAATATTTTAAAAATTAGTGAGGAGTGAAGTTAATTCTAACAGATGATGAATTACTTGCATAATTCAGTACCTGTATATATTTTACATACAGGGATATTGTGTTGTTTGCTGTTAAAGAAAACTTTAGAGGTGTTTTCCAGTAGATTTTGTAGTAGGCGTGTCGATAGGCTATTAAAGGGTTTATTGAATGTCAGACATTATGTCCAATGATTTGCAAGTGTAGGATATATTTTCTTCATAGTCCTCTGAAATGTTTGACGGATTGTGTCTTAAAACTGGTGATGTGCTGTTAAATTCTGTTTGTAGTTTGCATTTAGTTTGCATGTCAATTGGACTTTAAGTAGACATACAACTCTATGTGGCCAGATGGTGTCTGGGAGTTTTGGAACTCTATAGAATATGAGGAAAGATTATTGGGCTATTAAGGGAGCTATGCAGGGGAACAAAGGCTTATGGATATAAGCACTGAAGGGGATTGTCAGTATGGTTTAAAGTGAAGGGGGATGTATGTGGGTTTTCTTTATTACCTATCATAATTAATATGGGCGTGGATCATCATATAAAATATATAGTGAATCATAAGACATCAGAGTTGTTGATCATTACATACTCAAGCTAAACAGAAATAGTGTGAGAGCTCAGAATATATACAGTTTTGCCGTGCGTGGTGGGAGCAGTCGTGGGTTTATATCACTATAGTCAGATTATATTGGAATAACGTAAGCTATATCAGTCAATGATATTTTTAATTGTGGATTCTGTCATGCACCAGAATGGTGACTGGCCTTCTTATTTAAAATAGTTAAGAGAGACCTAGAAGTTAAAAAACTTCTAGAAATAATTAATGTGAGTAGCATGTGGTTATAACTAGTTATATGATTTTGTTATTTACTAATTGTACCTGATTTTTTTAAAAATAAGAATTTCTAATCTAAATTTAATTTAGGAAAATGATAAGACATTCTGTCTGGCAGAATAACTCCTGTTTTTTTCTGAAAAATAATTTGGCATGCCCAGAGGTAGCTATCTTCAAGTGGTCTCTCTGAAGAATTCTTAAATGCAAAACATCCTGAAATAATTTTTTCAGTGAATTGGTGCCTTGGTCTTGCTTTCCACTGTAGTCATTACTAAATACATCCAGTAATATACATACTGAAATAGATATTATTGAAACATGAGAATCCAGTTCTAGCTAGCTGTAACATGACCTTTTTGGCAATCTCAGGATCTGCAAGTTGGTCTTAAATTGCTTTATATCCATAGAAGACGACACCTTAAGTGACACTTTGGAAATTAAAACCTTTGGCAACAATTTTAACCTTCCATTACATGTTCCAGTTCCCAGACCTTCTGTATGGTAGTTCACTAGTGTCTGTAGTCCAACCCACAGCTTCCTGTATTCAAGAAGTAGTCCTAATATAAAAAACTAGTCTCAGATTGCTATGTATGTGAACTAGTAATAGTAAGAGGACTTGGTAGGAGTATATTGTGAGATAAAATTATTAATAAATATTCATATGATGTATTGGAAAACCATGCAAGTATCTGCATGATTTGGGGTTTCTTTCTTTATTGCTCTTAATAAAGACATCGCTGAACTTACGCACTGTTCTATATTCATTTTGCTAGTAGTGTGTTTGCTATGTATGTGAACTAGTAATAGTAAGAGGACTTGGTAGGAGTATATTGTGAGATAAAATTATTAATAAATATTCATATGATGTATTGGAAAACCATGCAAGTATCTGCATGATTTGGGGTTTCTTTCTTTATTGCTCTTAATAAAGACATCGCTGAACTTACGCACTGTTCTATATTCATTTTGCTAGTAGTGTGTTACCTTAAAGCTGTATGCTTCTTTCCTTTTTTTTTCATACAGCCTTTTCTGGAATGCAGAGGCTATTATTCCCTATGTAACCTCAAAATTCTTAACAAAAAATAATAGAGAGTGTGACTAGTCAATGTTCCAGTCGAATATAGACTTTAAAAATCGAGGTGTTGGGTTATGAAATGAACGACTGATACATACAACCTGCCCATTCTCTCTTTTAGGGATAGACCTGCCATTCATGATGATGCCCCACCCTCTGCTGCCCGTCAGCCTACCTCCCGCTTCGGTTGCAATGGCAATGAATCAGATGAACCACCTCAATACAATAGCTAACATGGCTGCAGCAGCCCAAATGCACAGCCCTCTCTCGAGGGCAGGGGCCTCTGTCATAAAGGTAAGAGTCTTCTAGGAGACTTAAAATACCGCTTTTCGTGGCTAACCAAAACATTTACAGTGACTTTCTCAAGGAAGATGATGAAGAGGCAGTGAAGTTACTGTCCGTAGCACACCTCGTCTGCTGTTCCTGTGTGTGGTGCAGTGGGAGGAGGTAGCCGCGGGTCAGTCAAGAAGTTGTTCAAGGTTGTTAAGAAAATTTCATGCCTGTGTTTGAGAGCTGAAGTCCAAAAGAAGTTGGGACAAGAAATTTTCGAAGTAGAAGGCTATAGGATCAGTGCATGTGATGGATTGGTGCTACGGGATTCTCTAAAACACAGCGTGTCCTCCTTTTATTGAGCAAAAATGAAAGGTTTTACCAATCTAACTTCTGTGTGTGTTTTCATGTACATGCATGTTTCTTGTTGACAAAACAAAATTTTGTCAGCTTTGAAAGGAAGTTATTTTAGTCCATTTTTCATTAGTTTTAAATATATGAGTCTATAGAGCTATCTGTTCTGCATAATACATCCCTTTTTATTTTGATATTTGTGCTCATTTACACTTACGTATCCCCATTGTGCTGGAATTGCAGAGTTCTGAGTTGCTTTATTCTAATAACTTTCCCTTGTATGCTAATCTCTCGTACCTTTATTGTAAAACACCATAGTTACAAAATATCGTTATTTTATCATAGAGAAAGTCACTGTTGCCGGTATTACAGGCCAGTTGTGAGAATAAATTAGTTAGGATTTTGTTGTACTTTTACTGTCACAGCTTGCCACTGCAGGACGTTTTGTGGAAAGAAATCAGTAGTTGACAACCACGTTTATTTTTCATACGTTTATTTTTGATACTTGTATTTATGGTTTTGACATACTCTCAAGGAAGAAAGCAATTCTCTTTTGTCACATTTCAGTACCATAAAATATTACATGTCTCTGTTGCTGAGGTCCTGGAGGTCTTCGTTTTTCTACTGATCTTCTTCCTGGCCCTGAGCATCTCCAAAATTGCCTCGGGTTGTTTTTCATCTTTACTGAGAGTCCACTTCCAAGCGATGGCAAATGTTGTTCTTAACGCTTGGGTTTTGTTTACACTTTGCTTTCTTGGATTCTAGAAGGCCGGTAAAATTCAGAGCGGGTGTTCCCCAGGTAGAGACTGTTTGGGATGAAGATTATAAAAACTTCATCAGTTGTTGACTGGCCAGGGGAAACATGATAGTTCTGATGTCCAGCTGACCATTAGTTAATGCAAGTCACTGAATGGTTAGAAATTCATTGAGTTTCCATTTGGTTTTTGGTAACCTTTTCTTTAACTGTTCAGAGACTTCTTGAGAAAATCCTCCCTTAAATGCAGCAGTGGAATATTTGTGTATTTGTGACAGCAAGTAGACTGCATAAGCTTTGATTATATTTTAAATGCTGTCGATATGTCAAAATGAAGATTAAATATGTATTTGTAAACAATGCTAGCTCTTGGTAATATAAACTACTTGCTTGGCAAGCAGTTAGGTTTCAGGATGCTCTTTAGCAGGCCCTTGCTGATGCTAGTTACTCATTTACAGCTATTTTTCCCCAACACCTGCACTGGAGGATACACAGTATCTCCACAGCAACAGTAGGTCTCACCAGCACTCTAGTGGGAATTACTTTCTGTACATGATGTAGAGGAAAATACACCAGTAGCTAATGTGGCAGAGGTAAAGTGTGCATCCATTGCTGTGTTACTCACCTGTCAAGTGAGGCTGCATCTTTCTCTCATTTGTTCTGAGTGCTGAAACTGTAGATGAATTTTATTACAGAGTGTGAGGCGCCTTTTGTCGTTTCCTTCTCTTATGTACAGTCACCTAGCTCAGAATGACGATCAGGTAAGATGAAATCCTTGTACAAAGCGAAACATGTAAAAGGAAAGCATTGCTGCTGTTATCTGCCGCAAGTATTACTTTTCTTATGACACTATTGAAGTCCTTTTAATAAGTACAAAAAATTACTAATTTTAGATAGACTGCAATTCCAGCATCATGACATTACTTGAAACGGGAGAAATTAATTGAATATATTGTGGGGCTGTTTCCATACTCTGATGACTGATGACTAAAATACCACTTGGTGTGTTTTCTGTAGGTGTGAGAATCAGCTGCTTTATAAAGGTTTTGAATGAAGTCATTATGCTTTTTATATCACGTTTGCCATTTAGAAATAAGCTGTTCTACCAAGATATGCATGATCAGCAAAGTTAACATTTAGTGCTCCAGAAAGAAATGTCATAACTATGAAACTTGATTTCTTCCTGCCAGGAACACTATAAATTAGGCAGGCACAATGGCCAGGCTCACAAAACCTTCTTAGCCATCTATAATATGATCTGATGTGATTATAGCAGCACCCCCTAGCAGTGCTATAGCTACGCTTCTGACAGTGCCTGTGTAATAAATCCCATCTTTCAGGGATTTACTGCTCATCGGAAAGAGCTTGCTCCATTTGAAACTTGGCTCACAGGGTTCGGAAGAATCTGTGTAATTGACGGTCTCATATGGCAAAACCAAACTGACAGCAACACTAACTTCACCACCTCTCCTCATTCTTGTGTTTTCTCTCCGGCTAGTTCTTCGTTTAGTTCTTCAGCTGGATGAACTCTGCAATCCAGTTACTGGCCTAGGTGTAAAATAATGTAAAATGTTGTACTTCACTGTCATTCAATAATTTTGTCCTGATACCCAGAAAAATCTACGCAGTGACGATATTTTCAGGACTTCAGAAGCAAAATTTGGGTGGGCCTTTTATACAAACCAGAGGATTTTTCACTGAAGTTTGTAGAACAACTCAACTCCAGAGAGCAGTAACTAGATAACATTCAGATTTTTATTTTACAGTGGACCTATAATGAATATGGCTATGTAACAAATGAACATGGCCATTAATATGTATTCATACCATATTATACAGTTTATCATAATGGAGTGTTGAGATACAGGCTGAGAACATGAATAGAATGCTGAAAGCACACCTAAATCTTGACAGATCATTCATATTAAATTGGGCCCAAAGGAGTCGAGGCCTCACAGCACGTAACGTGGACAGCAAATACCGGAAGAGGGGTCACAGCAAAAATGGCACTAGCTCTTTGTTCATCGACAGTGCTTTTGAACCTCAGAATCAGCCCATGTAACAACTCTCTGTCCATAGTGGAAGGAGGCCTCAAGCTATGTGCAGGAAAGGCGTCACGAGGATTAAGGTAGTGTCAGCAAGCCTGAAGTCTCAGTTTATGCAGATTAAGCCAGAAGGGGTTGATGTGACTAAAACCCATAGTGACTTACCCAATTTCAGCCAAAAGGCAGGGGGGGCAGGAGGAGGGTTTGGAGTTAGGAGAGTATAAGGAGGGCTGGAAGGAGCCAACCTTCTGGAGCAGTAACTTTGTGAGTCTTTGTATGTTCACTGAAATGCTGCTTTCCCAGATGTGCTTTGAAACAGGTTGGTGGGACATACTGTGGTTAGGGTGGGCTTCCAAATGTGTTAAACCAGCAGCCTTAAGCAGCTCTGAGTACTCCAAGAGAGCAGTGAGGCAGAATTTTATACCAGAGATTCGAGAGGTTCTTGTACCTTTTTTCCCCAGTTTTTCCTTGCTTCTTGTTCTATTCACCCCACATGCTTCGCACTTTCCTTGCTCCTCTTGCTCATGTCTCACTCTTCCTCCTCCATCTCTCCTCCTCGTCGTTCTCTCTCCCTTTCCTTCTGGCTCTCTAACAACCTCTCTGAGCTGCTGAGAGATGTGCTTCTCCTGAGTAGGTGTATTTCTGCAAATTGGTTTCCTGCTGTCCATTTTTCTTCCATCGGCACTCCCTCATGCTTGCTGTATTCCTATTTGTCTCTTATTCTTTTTTTCTCTTATTCTTTCTGTTGTTATGCAGGTCCCAATTATGAATAAATGGCACATTTTTGAATGCAGCTGGAAAACCCAGAGAAAATAAGTTAAAATGTAATAGGAATGCTTTGTTAAAAAAAACCCAAAACAACGACGAAAAAAACCACAAAACAAACAAACCCCAAGAAACCCCAAACCAACCCACAAACAAAACTCAAAGCTTTTTTATTTTTGTATTTCAAATCATATTTCTTTCATAATTTTACCCCAATATACTTTAGAAACAAACAAAAACCCACTCACTTCCTCCTTCCCATTCACCCCATACCCCTCCCCACGCTCCACCCACACCCCTCCCCCCCCAAAAAAAAAAAAAAAAAGAAGAGGGACAGTGACAGTTTAGGTGAAATGCAAAGTTTTGGTAAGGAAACTGAAATCTTGTACTTCACATCAACTCTACACAATTTCTGTCTGAATATTTACTGATAAACAGAACAAAGCATTATTTGTACTGTCTGATCGAGACATGCAGTAGAGATTTTTGCCTCTCCTTTTTTTTGTGTTCTGTTTTCTACTGATTTTTTGGGATTGGTAAAGCTTTTGTAAAGGATGTATATGACATGATTTTAAATTCCCTAAAGACAATACAGATGGGCTGTGTAATTATTGCTGAGAGGTGCTATTTTCTGTGTGCTGTACAACTCACATTCATAATATTTACCTGACAGCCAGAAAAATGTGGCCATCTCAGAATACTCTGAAACAATTCTTCTCACTATAAAAGCATTTCTCATTACAGAATTTATAACAATTTATTTCATATCTCTGTGCATTCAATTCATTCTGAATGGTTTTCAGGATATTACAAGATTTACAAAATAAAACTTCCATAAAAATCTATGTTATTTTTCTCATTATTAGATTTATTCTGTCCCATTTCATAGCATGTGTTCATTCCTGGCAGCTTATTGCTGAAATGGGTACTAGAATATGTTAGGGGAGTGACATGTGAGACAGAGTAGTTTAACTTTGCTTCTTAGAAGGGTAATTTTTTTTTGTGACTGTATCTGTAGCAAAGGAGGAGTGTGCAGTTTTGTATCTTTTCAGTCACTGGTACAGAAAAACTGTGATCAGGGAGATGTTCAGGCCCCTACAAATTGC